TCTCAAATCTTGATTGAAAACAAGATCATCATCAGTCAGTAAATCAAAAGAGGGACAAACCAAATACTAAGGCATTATGAAATTCATGAAAACATTTCAGTTAAGCTTCTTACTCTAATTGTTATGCTAAATATGGTATCATTTGATGACATGTTGCATTTACGTAATTAGAAAAATTGGGACCCCACTGTATATCTCAGCATGTCTCTCTCTGCATCACGTTACAATATACACACTATCCTCTATCCATCTCCATCAATAAAGTGTAATGAATACGAAATGGCGAAAAGGATGCCCCCCTCCCCTTTTACTATGTGAGAGTATTGATCAGAAAGAGCTAAGGTCATGCTCTTTCTCTGTGTATCATCTGCCTTTCGAGCTCAAAGAACTCATCTTCTGTTGTACATAAAAACAACTGAATAATGGCAGAGATAATGGTGAAGAAAGGCTGAGGAATTATGCGTCAAAATAACCAATTGTTCCCATTGCTGAGCAAAGGCTCCATCAACATTTCAAGTATGACAGTGCAAACTGAATTCAAAGATTTCTTTTTCACTCTGGTTCTCTGTATGTTTGAAAAGCTGTTGTGATTAATCTTTGCTCTCTTTGTACACGGTTTCCCCGCTGAAAGCTTGTGCTGATTTCAGACAACTTGGTCTTATGGCAGACTCCAGTCTCATGGAAACACAGCATCCGAGCTACATGTATCTGAATGAAGCTTCCCTTGACGCATGTATGCATTATAAACACAGCATGACAGCTGTCACTGCAGCTCATGCCATTGCACGACTGAGGTGTTTTCTCTATCATGTGCTATTGGCAGGGCTCTTATATTGATGAATGTGACTGGAGGGTTTGCTTCTGTCGTTTATGAACTAGGACCAAATTGGATTTGGTTAATATGAACAGATTTGTTTTGAGTGCTGATGGTTCTACTTTTTAAAGAAACTAAATGCATCTTAGAATCTGATTTTAAAGCCAGTATTGATCTGCTTTGCTCCTTCACTGCAGAGAAAGATTAAAAATACACAGTGTATGAGTATAAATAGTCTAATAGCATATTCTTTGAATAGTTCAGTTTTGCATATTCAGTTAGGAATAGTGTATAGTCAGTCAGGCATTAATGCAAAATAAAATGATCTTAAAAATGTTCATTACATTATTCAAAATAATCAGCCGAGAAATAAAACAAACACTGCTGCAATATTACAGTAATATTAATACTGAAGTCCTCTGAGGTCATTGTTATTACAGCTGATAACTAAAGTGATGTATACAACAAAACCAGATTGTGGTTTTGTACAAGAGACATGAAAGTAGGGCCAGTTTCAGTTACTACAATGACTGGTCTAATATAGCACTGCTATTGTCATGAATGAATCCATGGTGAATTTAAAGAAATGTGAGATTGCTGAATGCCACAATGGACCAATCAGAATTAAGTATTCCAAAGAGCTGTGGGTAAGTCTGTTTAGAGGTTTTAGAGGAAGCTCTGATTGCCTCTATGGTCTTCTTCTCAAAACTATTATAGCAGCACATTCACAGGTTTTCAATGAAAGTGCAACGCAAACTGCTTTTAGTTAATTGCTCATTTGAATCTATAAAGGCAGCCAATTATGGTTATGTGTGCTGTAAATCTGATTAACCTCTCTACACTGCTCCCCTAATGCCATGGAGACCACAAAGGTCTAATGCTTGTTCAACAAGCGTGTGTGATTATAACACAAGTAAAGCCAACCAGTGCTGGTGTACCTAAAATAAACATTAACATATGAGCTGAAGAACTGAGATGGATAATTTGTTAGCTGAACAGTTAAAGGGGCCATATGATGCTGCTAAAAAGAACATTATTTTGTGTATTTGGTGTAATGAAATGTGTTTATGCGGTTTAAAGTAAAAAAAAACACATTATTTTCCACATACTGTACATTATTGTTTCTCCTCTATGCCCCGCCTTCTGAAACGCGTCGATTTTGTCCAACTGGAATTTGTGGGTGTTTTTTTTTTTGTTTTTTTTTTACCCTTTCTGTGGTGATTTAGGAGGACAATCTGTACTTTTATATATAATAATTTGTATTTTATCTCTGTAATTACACAGAATGAATGTAAACGTGGTAAAATATGCTAAACAGAGCTAAAAGTACTAAACGTTTATTGGATAGCATATTTAAATTATTAAAAAATCTAATAAACAAACACACAAGGCTTCGGGAATGTGCAGAACTTATTCTCTAAAACTTAAAAATAATTTTCATTAATTGAAATATGAAATAAAATAAAATAAACATAAATTAAAATTAGAAATGTTGCATTCATTGGCAACCAATTGAAATACACATTGAAAATACTAAAATTACTAAAACTGGAATGAAAATTAAAACTAAAAATATAAAAAGGCCGTAAACGCTAATTATTATAGCTAAAATGAACTATAAAAGATCATTCAAAATAAATGCTACAACAGTATAAATGGTACTAAAATAACACAAATTCCATGCATATTGCATGTTGACCTGATTATGGTTAATAAATTAATAAATGACTTGTCACCATTGTTTTGTTTTCGTTTCTTTGGACATGATTTACCCAGTATTCCTCTTTGAATGTGACAGTCAGAGAATGTGCTAATTTCTACATTTCACTTGGACATTGTGATTTGTGATGCTGCCTATGATGCCTGGTCCGGCTCCATCTCCTGCCCTTATCCATTACAAAGGTCTCAAGGGAAATTAATCCAGCCCAGAGATGCCCTGCTTATAATTGTTGCACCCATGTCATCGGACTGTAAATCAACACACATTCCCAATACATGCACACACTAAAGGTTATTATATTACTGCCTTAACTTGCTCCCAAAGATGAGACTCGATACACTTTTCATTGTCTGGGTTGCCCGTTTTGCAACTCTGTGATGCTGCTTCTACTCTGAAAAGGTGACGTGGAGAATAATGGACCTGAATTATCACGACAAGCAAGATTAATTGCCATGAGCTGTGATTAGCCCTCCCTGCCAAGCTGAGCTTTTATGCCTCTATACATACTTCATCATTAAATGCACTCAGTAATCACGTTTCTCCACTGCCACTGCATTACATATCTCAGCCGTAATCCATATGCAGATGACATTAGGGCGGATTGTTATTTAATTGGCCCCTTGAAGGTCTGTTAGCACGTCTTTATCGGCAAGCCCTTGTCTTTTAACTACCTAAAGCGACCCAGCCATCCCCTCATATTCATCTGGCCAACAGAAGCGCTCTGGCTGTCACTGAGTGGATGAATGCTAATGAGAGCGAGAGAGATGAGTCTTTAGTGAGGTCGGGTTTTGGCTCATTGCTCAGTGAAATGTTTGGCCAGCTCTCTGATCATATTTGTCTTCCTCAGTCCATGCTGTGATAAAGCTGTAAGCAGGAGCGGGACAGAGGGGGATCAGCATTGCAGTGTTAAAAATGTGCTCATAAATTTGGGTGGAACATACTTGCATAGCAAAAATCTTTTAAACCCATATCGCAGCATGAAAGAGACTAAATAGTTACACTATGAAAGTCATGCTTGGTAACACTGGGTGATGTGTCCCCAAATTGTGGAATCATACAGCTCTATGAACAGCTTCTTTAAAGGGATAGTTCACCCCAAAATTAAAATTACCCCATGATTCACCCTCAAGTCAACCAAGGTGTATATGACTTCTTTCAGTTGAATACAATCGGAGTTATATTAAAAAATGTCCCAAGCTTTATAATGGCTCTACCCCCAAGATTTTGAAGCCCAAAAAAGTGCATCTATCCATCATAAAAAGTACTCCACACGGCTCCGGGGGGTTAATGAAGGCCTTCTGAAGTGAATCGATGCATTTGTGAAAGAAACATATCCATATTTAAAACTTTATAAAAGAAAAGAAAAATTAGTTGAGAAGTGTTGGGGTATGTTAACACATTTGTGTAAAAAGAAGGATTTATGGGAGAAAAAACTATTACATATTGTGTGTACAAAATGGGTATGGTTACAACAGTTTTTGGGGAAAAAAATATTTCTAAACCATTAATTATCAGCAGACAATATATCAGTCTTTCCGAGATGTAAAGACAACTGGGTTGCAGATAAAATGTTAAAATAGTCCATGTTCTCACCTACTTATATGATAATATAATATAAATAAAGTGGTGCATAAATACACATTCTCATTCAGAGAATTACATATAAAATAGTAAAAAAACAAAACAAAACATAGGCTTTTTAAATACTAAAATCTGTGTGAGTGCCTGGATGTGAAATTTTGTCTCTTCTATGTGATATGATCCACCTACAAACGTTTGCACAATATTTTGTGTATTATATGTAACAGTGATCAAACTCTGCAAATAACTACGGTGCACAGCATTTTAAAGCAGTAATTGTTTTGTTTTTGATGTTTGTTCTGTAAGAGAAAAATGTGCTTGCAATGCAAATAAATGCATGTTTGCTTCTAGCTGTGCATTTAACGGAGCTGGTGAGCCATGGAGAAGATAACTGGTGTCAAGATGTGTCTAGCAGCCCAATAAACCAGGAATGACAGAGCAAAGCTGTAAGTCTATGCCACTTCCCATGTCAGCGAGGGGTAAATAAATTGGGAATGCACTAAATGGTTGTCTATTCATTTGTTTTTAATTTTCAGTCAATAAGTTAAGTCATAATTAAGAGATGGGTTTCAACTGATGTCTAGTGGGTTGTTGAAATTGCGTCCCCTGCCGGTGGAAAGATGTCTAAAACAAAAACATCTTTGAGACGGGATGTTAAACCTAGTATCTAAAATGGATGCAAGCGCTCCCTAGAACAACTGCGTTTTATATATTTTAAAGTATTGCCGAGAAAGCCCGATTAATGATTAATACAATGAGAGCTACAAATACGTCAGTGTGCGTTGTTGGGGGAGGGAGGTGGTTCCTCGACCCTCGTTGTCATAGCAACAACAAAGGTGGAGCGATACTTTAACAGAGGGGCTGGATTGTTTGTTAGTTGAAGTCACGTGACGTGCCGCTGGGGAATGGGGGCACTTCCTGTTTTACTCCACTGAGACTTGAGACCATAGACTTGAGACGGCTGTTGTCAGTTTCAACAAAATGGCTGCTGGAGCGCCACAAACGAAAACCCAGTGAACGCTTCACGTCAGTGCAGTATCACTTTAAATGGATGCATTGGAATTTCCCTACCTTCTGAGCGTCGGGACATTTACTCGTGTGGACTCGTTAACATACGAATTAGCGAACTAAAGGCATGCTGAGATATTCCCTTTACGCACTTTATATACATCCAAAAGCTCAAACTGCCAGTGCGCGCGCGTCTGTGTGGGTGTGCGCGCGTGTAGCTGCTCCTAAGGATCGCCGAAATGTTGCAGCTGATCAACCTTAAGCTTTCTTGCTGACGTGCAGAACTGTCGTTTAATGTCCTTTTCACTGTTTGCACTGGAGTTTTAGAGTTTTCCCCCCTCTGGATAAATTCCGCTGCAGATTGAGAGGTGAATTCCTCAACTGGAAAGTCGGGCTCGCCATTGCAGCTCAGTGTCTGACTGCGGCTGAATAATACCTGATCTGTGTCAGTATCGACGACAACATCGACTTCACCATGCTGCTCATTTGAACAGCAGACCGCAGTTGCTCCGTGTGCGAAATAAAGGTAAGATGATGCATTTTTAAAAACAGTTATACTGTTTCAGTGGGCGGGGTGTGATAATTTTGGTATAGGGTGACAATGCGTCATTTTAGCATTTTCTTTTGTGCTATTTTGTTTCTGACAACCAGCGACATTGCGAAGGGGCGCAGGATTATTGAAATCACCTGGCATACGCTGTTTAAACGCTCGCAGGTTTATTTAATAACATGTGCTTTCTGTTCTGTTTTGATTGCTAGGAAGCTTGCGTGTGCAAATGTTTACTCCCCCAAACATCAACATTGGCCCATTTTCTAAACAGACGAGAGATACGATTTCTTATCGGATTCCAGTCGTATTTAAGATTCATACGTACGCCAATGTGAGCAAATTAGTGATTTGCCCGTTGCGGTTAGTTAACGCCGGATGGTGCGCTCGAATGGTGTGTTGTGTAAATACATGTGTCCAGTATTTGATGGGAGTCCCGTCACGTCGTTTTGATGCTTGTCTCGCATTGAGGCACCTCACTCTGTTTTGAAATTATATTGTTATGCTACTGCTTTGACTCTAACCCTGGGCGATGAACGATAAAGAAACAACCGCTGTGGTGTTTATATTTCCATGGGGTTTGAATTAGAGATATCGCGCTTTTGAGTTGCTTTTATTTTCGGTTAAAGCTCTTCCATTCGCTGTGTGCTCTATGCTCTGTCATTTGCCCTTGAATAAAACATTCAGATCCCTCAAAACAATTTTACTTTAGTTATAACAAAAGACTGTTTACATTTCTTATATATATATTCTAGGCTTGTGTTTTTCCGTGGAAGAATACTAGAGGTTTTATTGGCGAAATGGTGTTTATAGCAATTGAGAGTAACTATATGTTGACTAAAATTGGTAGTAGTTTTCAGCCAGATGTCAGTATTACCTTGGTATTACTGTGAAATTGTAGTTAATTCATAAGAAGTATGATTCAAACCACATAAGCTGTCAGAATGTTTCTGTCAGTGTTTATTTTCTTATGGACAGTGTTTGGCAATGCCAAATTACTACCGTTTTGTTGTAGTAACGGTAACTGATATTTAGACAGACACTATGGTTACCTTGGCAAATTTTCGTAAGGGCGTTGAATAGGTCTTCTTGGTAGTGCAACGTGCTTAGCGTCTGAGGACAGCACCAATGTCAAACGTCCCCTTGGCTGTTCATGTGGTGCAGTTGCTAATTTGGCAGGGAGCATTTCGGCTCCCCTCACAGGGTCAGGGGCCCTCCTGTCAGAGCCAGACCTTTGAAAAGGGCTGTGTGTTCTCCAGGAGTGAAAAAGGGTCAGACAAAAAGAGGCCACTTAATGCTCAGATTACCATAAAGCTTAGGTCACATTGCCCCTCTCAGCTTGTTCTTATGAAGCCTAACCAGCATTACTGTGGCTTGGGATTTACACCATGTGGCTTCATGTCTGGTCGTTTGTAGCTGTTGGTTATTGAAGTGGAATTATTGTTGCCGAGTCTGGTGTGTGATTCCCTTATGAAACTTGGTTACTGTATACTAACTGTGTCATTTTGAGCAAGACCATAGTAACCACAGATAAACCCATGGATTGCTTCTCATTTCAATGGTTAGATCTATGTTAGACTAATCTGGTTTCTGTAAAAACCAAAAACTCTTTTATTTGTTACAAAAATAGAATCAACGTACTGTCATAATTGTAATAAACAACTTTCCTGTACAAATACCACATTATAGTGTTTTGCTAAAGTAAAAACATGGCGATTTCTTCAAACAAATAAACTCAAGGCAGCATTAGCTTGCAGGTGTTTATCTCTTTGCCTAAATTCTGCGAGCAGCTGTCATTTTCTTCTTCTTCTTCATTGTGTGTACTTCATTTTCCAGTGTACACATTTTACATTTCCAAGTTTGTTGCTATTTTCTACACTTGGTGGTGATATGCCACTTTGCTCTGTTGGCACATGTATCAGTTTAGCATTTCTATTCAAATCTAAAATAGAGACTCCCATCTGAGCTTCTCACAGTCACTGGTATGCAACTAGTAATGCTTAAGGAATCACTCTGCAGTTTATAGCTGATTGATTATGTCCTATTAATTCCCACATTCCCTTCTGAGCCACCTTGTAACTATTTTTGAGCATTATTGAACCAGAGGTCTTTTGTCTGTTATGCTAAGTACTTTTTGGTTTTTACTGTCTTTGACTGTCTTTGAGTCATCTTGGTGTCTTGTCAAGCTTTGACATTAATGCCTTAAATCAGCCTGGCTCATCAATAGTGCAAACCATTTTTTGTTTGTTTGGACAGAAGACACTAACCAACAGCTGTGAGTCCCAAAGTTAGCTTTATGCTGACCTCTGAAGATTGTGACTGGATCTGTGTCCCACTGACCTTCATTGGACTTGCTCATCATGATAGATAGCCTAACACTGATGTAAAGATCTGCCTTTGATACCTTTATAACATAAGCCTGTTGAATTCAGATTAAGTCTTTTGAGACTTTATTTACACATGAAAAGCAATAGGATTTTTTAAATGTGTTTGGTGTGCTTTTTTCTCTATTTATGCAGGTCTGATTTAAGGAGGTTGAATTTTTGAACCTTCAGGATGTGTTTTTGGCATGCGTTTTACATTCTTCTTTGATTGGTTGAAAACTGGAGGCCAAAAGGCCGCTCAGATGAGTCTTTCAAGGGCAAGTTTGCCTCTCTGAGACACACTGTAGCAGTTCTCTGAATTCATTAACCTTTTAGAAAGGCATGTCTTAAACGTAGATTGCCACTTTTCACCTGCTTGGTTGCATGCAAAATGGCAGCCCTCAGTTACTGTAAAGGTGTATAGTCCTTCCTGCCCATCAAGCCTTTCAGTATGTCTTAAAGAGATATGAAAATTCATTCATTTACTCACCCTCATGTCATTCTAAGCCCAAAAAGACGTTGGTTAATGTTTATAACAAATTCTGATATTTTAATAAAACTTGAGAGTTTTCTATTGAAAGTCCAGGTAACCAAAAGCTACCTAAGGGGTTAATCTCATCAACGTCAGTGAGCCTATAAGCCTGCAGCACTAGGTGTGCTTGACTAGAAGCGGCGCGGCGCAGATCGATCAGTGTTTGACATCCGCGAGACCAGGTAACCAAAACCTAAAAGATCCAAATAGGCTAGGTCACAAAGATTTTCAAAGTCACTTTTATGACCTTTTTGGATCTTCTATGTTATGGTTACCTGGACTTTCAATGGAGCGACTGAAACCTCTCAAGTTTTATTAAAATATCAGAATTTGTTATAAACTTTAACCAACGTCTTTTTGGGCTTAGGCTTTATTTAAAAAAAAAAAAAAAATAATTGTATTTCAAAGATTAACCAAAGTCTTATGAGTTTCACGTGCTTTCAGATGGAGCAGAATTTACTACACATAGCCGTAGTTCAATGACAAGTTACGCAAAAAAATCGGTTTTATTGAGCGATTATGAAATCGAAGAAATCGTTTGCGATAATGACAGCTACACTGGTGCATTTTTGTTTTTAAATTAAAACGATCCTCGTCATACTGGCGTTTCCACTGCGTTTCAAGGCGGCTTTCCACTATCTCCGACAAAAGACAGATCGGAAGTCATTCGTTTCCAACGGAGAGTAGTGTGGGAGCTGCGTGGAGTTCCGATCATAGATGTCCGTTCATACTAACATTACACGACCGAAAGCGCGTGTTACGTGACCATTCATGCACACTGTAGCATCATGCTACATAAGACAATAAATATGTGCAGTGGCTCAGGAGATGAGTCTTTGAGTCTGTATAAACATCAACAAGCTGAAAAATAAAACCAACGTTTTTTTTTTAGATAATGTAATCTTGTTAAAATTGATTTCATAAAATTGGTATCGAAAAAAGTATCGTTCAGGAACCGGTATCGAAGTCAAGGTATCTGTATCGGCATCGATATCAAAAATTTTTGAACAATACCCAGCCCTAAGTAACTTATGACAAAATATTTATTTTTGGCTGATCTTTCATTTTAACATTAACAACATTTTAGTAATGCGTAAGGCTGGAAGATGGAGTCTATAACTCAATAAATACTGTTTGGGAGCAATTTTACAGTGCTGAAAGTCTAGCAGTTATTTGATAGTTCATCTGTATTCAGTATTTCAGTATTTGTGGCTTATTCTGGCCAAGAAACGCCCACTTAGACAGGAAGAGACCCTCTGACCGACAGTTTGTGGTGTTTAGGGGCGGGTAATTCTGAAATGGATGAATACCACAATAATAGCTCGGCTCAGATAAATCTTATTCAGAATAAGCCATGATGACAGTCTCCCTGAACTGTTGAAATGTGTTTAGACTTGGCGATGAGTGTTTTTTTTTTTTTGCCCTAAAAGTAGTTAATATTGATTATTTCACAGGCAGAAAATAAAGCTAGATATGGTTGCTTGCCTTAAAATATATTGTGCTTGCATAAACTTACCAAGGTTGCAATTATTTGATCAAAAATACAGTAAAAACTGTAATATTGTGAAATATTTTTACAACTTTAAAATAACTGTTTTGTATGTTCAAATATTTAAAATTGTAATTTATTCTTGTGATTAGGCCTAATTTTCAGCAGCCATTACTCTAGTTTCAGTGTCATTTCATTCTAAGCTGATTTGGTGCTCAGGTTGAAAACAGTTGTGCTGCTTAATATATTTGTGAAAACTGTAATGCATTGTTTTCAGGATTGTTTGGTGAATATAATGTTAAGAAAACATTTATTTGAAATAAAAGATAAACAATGCAAAAGCCTTTACTGCCACCTTTAATCAATATAATCCCTAGTAAAAAAAAAACAATTAAAATACATTTATAGTTCAATCTGTTAACATATTTACTGATGTATTGCTTGAGACTTGCTGATATAAAAATTATAATTAAACTTTATTTTGAGTACTACTTGTGCACAATGCACATTTCTTATTATTAAGCCTAAAATGTGTTTTAATGTCACTATTGAAGATTGTATGATCCTTGAATAATATCAGTCTTTAAATGCAAGG